ATACATACATACATACATACATATATATATGTCAAAATCAAAGTTCCTGTCAACGCTCTAATTTCTCGAGGACCTTCTTCAAATAGTTACTGGGTTGGACGGGAACATTATACATCAAAAGTTCCGCCCGCAGAAATAGATTTAAAAGTAGTAGCAGCAGGGCCAACAGCATCTTTTCTATCAAGGTTTTTAGGGCACATTGATTGTGAGTGACAGCTCGCTATGGACCATTTTGGAAAATGAGCGCATGGCTCTGGCGAAGTTGAGGAACAGCCAGGAGGTACAGGAACACTCCAGCTGAGACAAACTTTCCTCGAACTTTCCTCGAAAAGGACATTTCCTTTCAACTTTGATTAACGTTAAACGATGAAATTGTTTCCCCCCAGTTAATAGCGTGGCGTAAAACCCCGCACTCATGCATCCGTGTTGTCATTCTGCGAGGGGATTGCAATCCCAGGCTATTGGATGCTCAAATTGACCTACATGGAAAGATAATGCAATGGCTGTCTCCTTGTGAGATTGCTGTGGGTATTTTTCACTGTATTTGCTGAATTTGTTCCCACTCAGACCTTGCTAGCATCAGCAGCTTGTTAGCTTCTATTCTGTCTCTCTCTCTTTCTCTGGCTGCCAGGATATGCTGCTGTCATCTCACAAGCCAGAATTCAAATATCTGCACACAAATTTGCAGACACACACACACACACACTGGAGATTTCTCAGCGAGACTGAGCGAGTTTATTTTTGACGGGATGTTGGGATCGAGCTTTTAAGCTGGAATCAGATCACTGTGGCAGGCAGATGTTCCTCTCAGATGGTGGTTAGTGTCTCTTTCGGTCAAAACAACCAAACTGAGGATTGGGGAAATGTTTACAGAGTAACACATCTGTGTACTGTAGTCTGTCAAACTCAGGATATGGATGTCCACATATCAAGTAAAACTGCGTATAAAAGTGAAATGTATGATGCAAACCAAATGTTGCGACCAAAGATATCCAAACAAAGTGAGCTTGTTTACTTCTAGCATTTTTAGATGACTTGCCCCGACCGTGCACTTACATACCAATTTCAAACACATTTTCGTTCTGTGATTACTGCATAAGAATCACAGCCGAGGAACATCAGAGGCCTTTTTTTACAATTTGGAACTTGAGTCATTCCTCATAGATGTTTCTCATTTGGTTGTTATTCCTCCGGGATCTCATTTTCCACACTGTGCAAAAACTGTTTGTGGATATTTAAGATGTATTCAAAACTAGTTTACGAGTGCAGAGCTAATGGATAAAATCAAGCATTAGGGTAAATGTAACTTTATATGGTAATGACAATCTATATTGAGGTAGTGCTTTCTTTCTTTTTTTTTTGCTCTGTTCAACTGAAAATGATGACAAGAATTCAATGGGTGGAAAATCAGGTCAGTGACACACAAATCCTGAAAATTCAATAGTGTAATCTATAAAGTAGTCCTGGTTATTGATTTACAATATTGCCTGTAACTATGTAATGCAACACAGATATCAAAGGGGTAATAACTGCAGTATTTCAGCCTGTCCTAGAGTCCAAAATGAATCGATAGCTACTGATTTTAAAGTGATGCCTAAAACTGGAATTTTTTATTTTTTTGCAATAATTAAAAGTTTTCTTAAATTGTGTTTAAAAAATACATAATTTTGTAACAATTAATTGAAAGCTACAAACGACTTCACATGCGAAACTTCCATAACAGCTCATCAAATAACTGATGAAATATAATAAAATACAACACTTCTTCTGATAAAAGCTACAAGATATGAAAGAAAGTATCAAATAATTATTTCCAAGGTCAAGATTAATTCAAAGTTTAACATGTTTGAATGAAATTTGAAAATGACTGGAATTAACTTTCAGCATAACTGTAAACAATTTGTACTTAATTAGCCTAAATATCTTTTTTTTAAACTATTTGGTAAGCTTTTTGTTTTTTTTAGAAAATTGTTCATATTGATGATCTCACCGTGTTTTTATTATCTTCTTTTACAACTATATTTTTTCTAAACTACCACAAAATACTGCTTTAACAATACTATTTTGAATTTTTTCTTAAATATTTTAGAATAATAAACACAAAAAATAATAACAGGTTAATATCAGATCATCTTTGTCTCATTATACACAGAAAAGTCCAAATCTAGTTTGTAAATGTTAATTTCATTTTATCTGGAGCAGCTCGTTTAGATGTCAACATTTTATCGAGTCCGATCATCGCCATGTCGCTCAACTCAATAAATTAGGTACTGCCCTCAAAGAAGTCAAATAAAAAAAATGACAATAATATTAACCTTGGTAGCCAATCTATTTTCTAGCGTAACTTAACAGCTCTGCAGAGCAGGCCTGGTCGGAGGCCGGAGGCAGTCGTGTCAAACTAGTAACGCACGGCGTTAAATGAAAATGTCACACCAAAGTGAAACATGCCTTTGAGGCAGAAGCGCTGTATTGTGTTCTACATGTGAGGTGAGCGCACATTTACCTTGCCCGACTTTCATGATGACTTTCATGGCTCGGCTCTTGCACACGCCTCCCTCCCGGTTCTCGAGGCCCTCGACTGTACCGTTGGAGGTTGCTGGAGGGTAAGAAGGAGAAAGTGGGGGAGAAAAAGAGAGGGAGAGAGAATGAGAAGAAGTGGGAGGACGTTGATGGAGGGTAAAGAAGTGAAAAGTGGGGGTGGGGGTGGGGAGAGAAGATGACACACCGGTTAATGAGCACGTCCATAACGCACAGAACTAATCAATATTTACGACAAGCACTGATTAGCTGTTCCAGTGATTAGCCGTTCTCATCCTCAATCAACCGCCGGCTTCTCTCAACGGTGTGTCTCATTAACACAATAAAGTGAAGTCAAATGAATGGAACAACATTAGAGTCTACTGAGGGAGGTGGGTGCTGAGGTGAAGAGAAGAAACATGGTCAAACCTGTGTGTGTGTGTGTGTGTGTTTCTACTTGTGCATAGTTTAGCAGTGAGGCATGCCACCAAGACTTCCAGCTGCTTGCCAACTCCTCCAGCAGCTTACTCCCTTTGAGCCACATGTGTCACTACTTGCTGGTAGTGCAGTGAGCTAAATGCCTCCCTCAGTGTGTGTGTGTGTGTCCATTTTTATATTGGTGCGTGTCAGCCTCTCTGCATTTGTTTCAAAGCGCACGCTCGTTCCCTAAGTTGAGCGAGGAGCTCAGGGTTGAGGGCTGTTTATTCAATGTCACATTCACTTCAGACACCGCGATACAATTGGCCGTCTATTTTAGGGCCCATGATAATGACCTAGGGAGACAGAGTGTGACTCTGACCTTAACACTGGGCAGCTAAGCACACGGCTGTATGCGTGCTCGAGTGTGTGTGTGTGTGGGCATCCGCCTGTGTGGGTGCATATGATGGCAGCTCTAATTTTGGAATTCCCCAAATGATCTCCATCTCCGCTTAGTCTGCCGTTTCAACTCACTCCCTTCCTCTGAAATGCTTTTGTTTCTCTTCCTCGCATTATCCGTCTTGCTCTCTCTTTCCCTGCTTTTTTTCCCCTCCGCTCACTTCATTTAGTTTTTTTTTTAGTCTTTTTTTATCAGCACTATCTGGCTCTACCCCTCCCCTTCCCTCCCTCTTAACTCAATGACCATCTCCCTGGGTGATTGCCTCAGATGGCACCCTCATTATGATGAGATAGTCTTGGAGAGGCTGCTTATCTAATGATGACACAAAGAGAAGCAGACTTGGCAACAGGCAGGGGAGTTGGGTGGGTCCAAACAATGCACTACAAACACGGCTGGCACGGTGCATCAGTGTTTCTACACGCGTTCCCCTGCTAGAAACTGATGTTGTATCGCTCTGTGTTGAAATTTGGCTCCGGAGCGACGTAAAAGCTCATCTAGCTGATTCATGTCCCGTCACTCCTAAGTGTTATTAATGTTGACATTTTGTTGCCCTGTGGGATTTCAGCTTTGTGCTTCGGCAAAATTGAAGAATACCAAATAATTAATTGCACTAATATTATGCTACATTATCAGATCGCACTCAAGAGTCGGCGGCAAATTTACAACGAGAACCACAACATTTTGTCAGCGTGGCCGGAGAACTCGATAATTTGCGAGAATGATTGTGATAACATCATGTCAGGGGCTCTTTGGCGAAATCCCCCTCGCTGTAGACTCAACACGACTGAGTGAACCGGACACCGAAATATATACGAGGGGGCCAGAGGAGCCCGGCGCTGCGCAGGACCAGAAAAAAAATAAGAGCGAGAGAGACTTGAAATTTACGTGGGGCATTAATGTGAAAGAACACTCACGACTAAGTGAGTCTTATGATTTATGTAAAGTCTACACAGGGACCGTGTCTCTTCTAAAGGGAACATTCAAAGACAGTGAGGTGAACAGGCCTGTTTCCAGTCTTGAAGGCGCACACCCGTCTCCCAGCCCCCGAATGGCCCAGACGCTGCCACAAGTGCTAACCTCATCCTGCCATTTTCCACCCAATTTCTTCTCTTCGTTCAATTTTTAAATTTCCAGGGCAAGGTTATACAAAAAAATGAGCTCTTTGAAGATCAAGCTCAAAGGCGCTTGAATAATCTGACTAACAGTGAGCTTCATGCTATGAATTTTATATCCTCTCCAGGAGAGCAAATCTACTCAGTGTTAACTTACTCCTGTCATCTAAATTAACTATTCCTTCAGGCTTGCTGAACGGGCCTGTGCTATACTGATGTGGCATAATGATAAGTTGCCCCTCTGGGGCCTCTGTTTAGCCAAACAACTGAGACTTAAAACAGAGCAGGATTTATAAAGAGATGATTGCTTTATATGTTGTTTGCATTCAGGCCATTTAAAAGTCAAATAATTCAGCCCTTTACTGTACCAGTGGAAATTCATAATCCGATTAAATGTGTCCAATTTTAACCACATTTCCTTATGTGAATCATTTTTAAGTATTATTCAAGATGGAAATCAACTAAAGAGACAACTGTTGAGCGCATTTAAAAACCTGCACTAAATCTCGAAACTCGCACACCGTTAAGAACCGTGCATTCCTGTGTTGCTTGATATCGGTGCATTCACATCTATCATGTCAGATCAGAGGAGGAAAAAAAACTGCCAGCCATGTTTCTCAGAACCCCCCAACCTTACTCTGCAAATAAAGACATACTGCCAGCTTCCTCCTCTTTAAATCTAAAAGCCTTTCGCTCATTCTATCACTTCTTCCTCTCACTCAATTTGTCCTCCCCTCTTTAACCCTCCCTCTCTTTCATTTCCTCCCTTGCATACTGACGTTAATCCAAATCTGGATTTTCAGATATTAAAAGGCCGACGGTCGTGTCGCATTTTGGAAAGAGCAAACCGGGGAATTGGGTCTTCCCGTGTGTCTCGGGCAGAGATAAAAACATATTGGGATAAAGGAACGACAGCATGAAGAACAAAGAAACTCCCAGTCTGCTGCTAATGATTTGGGGGAACAAACTGTTTCAGAGTGCAGCGGTTCAGAATACAGAAAGAGCTGGTCATTGCATGAAGGAATGTTGCTTTTTTTAATAAAGCCGTCGGCTCCAAAGAATGGCTTTTGTATGATTTAAGGCCCTTTTAGTGGGTGTGGATCACTGGCCACAGAGTGACTAGTGGGGGGAACAAAAGATCTACAGCTGCTGAAGTCATAAGAGAAACCAGGTGCCAAATGTTGATGTTGGGAAATATCGACAGCACAAATGTATCGGCCAAGGAGAAGCCTTACGGGGGGAAAAATTTTTAAAAAAGAGCTGGCCTGGAAGAAAGGCTCCCGTTCCAACGCTACACACGTACTACTGCACACATTACCTAAAGCATAACCCATTAACATGCATATGTGAATGTAGGCGCTTGCAAATACACCAGTGCACACAGACTTCACAAGGACATACAGGGTAGAGTGGAAGGGCTGCTCCCCGAGGTGCTCTGAAGAGAAGAGTGGGAGAAGTGTGAGAGGCGCACCACTGACTGGCCAAGACAACGCGAGCTAAGGCTAGAGTGCGAAGCGGTGGTCTATATTTATTCTCAGGTCTGCTAAATGAGGTCACTCAGGTGGTCCTGCTGAATACATTCCCCATCTCTATCATGAATCATCTGCTGCTTATTATTCCTGTCCAGCCCGGGGGGGGAAGGGGGGGGGGGGGGGGGGGGGGCTTGCTTTCATACAGCGCAATGGGCTGTGTGTCCGCAAGTGTGCGTAACGCTGCTGTGTGTGTGTCTATGCGTGCAACATCTGCCCAAAGCACCAAACCAGGGGATGGATAGAGCCCATGTGACAGACAGAGAGCAGGTTGTTTAATGAGAAAGTGGATGAGAGGTGACATTCATTGGCTACCTTTCACACACACCACCGACAACACCCCCCACCCCCCCACTTCCATTCTCTACAGCATTCAGACTTCCACTTAGACGAGCTGAGCAGGCACTGGGTAGTCACAGTAACCACCAGTAATAATGTCTATATTTTCCAAAAAAAAAAAAGCTAAATACATAAACAGGCACAACCACAATCTGATCATTTACACTTAGCATCAAGGAAAAACACCAGCACAAAGAGCTTTTTCATCCATTTGAGGCAAAAGCAGGGAGCTAACGCAGCTGTGGCAGGTATGAGTGTGTGCATCAAACAGAGCGTCACAGCAGAAATGGCTATTTCTCATACCTGCGACTTTCCTATCTCAGCTTTTGTTTACATTACCGAACCAGAATCAAAGTGGTGAGAAGGAAAAGAGGGCCTATTTGCACAAAATATTTCACTCCTGAATAAGCACAGAGAGGGTTAGATTAGGTTTATGCGCCTGATTCCAGAGATAACCCACCCCAGCAGATCTGGCATGCATGCAAGAATGCATGCACACACACACACACACACACACTTCCACAGACACAAACACAAAGTGAGGTTGGCAGACTGGAAATAATACTGGGGGATCTAGATGTTTGCACTTTGAACCTTTTCTAATCCTTAGTATTAGGGCATGGCTAAAGCCTGATTATGGTGGAATGAAATGGATCTAAATAGATGTCCCAACCCATCAGCCTTCCATTTCTTTGTCCTAGAAATAGAAATGGAAATAAGTAATCAACCTCCAACCTCTCACTGGCCGACTCTCCCACGTAGCCTCCTCCGCAGGTTTGGCACCAGCAAAGAAAATTCATTCAGACTTTTCACATCATCTCTGATGAATTGGGTGCTCTCTCAGCCTGGCCGAGGCTTTTTTTAAATTCCCGTGTTTCTTTTCAGTAATAAAAGCTGACAGACAATATAAAATAGTCGTATCTTCAACGCTAGTCCCGTGCATTTTTTATGCCATTTTGGAAATTCTATATTGAATTTAGGTTAGAGTGAATGTGGTTTTGAGTAATGAGGGTGGACACAGATGATTTTCTCATCTTCACGTTCAAAAGCTATTCTCTTTCTTCTTCCTCCTTTTTTTTTACAATTTACTCTTGCAAGCATCACCATGCACCAGCTCTGGCATTACCACGTGCTGTCTGCTCTCAGGAGCCACTTTGCTGAGGCTACAGAGAGCAGGTAGCAGCAGTGTTAGAGACGAGGTTTAAGGCTGGTTAGCGGCCCA